GCGTGCTGCCCTCCCGGTAATGAGAACGACACCGAATCTTACTCTCCACCGTGAAGGAGGTATCCCAACAGGAAAGATCATTCTGGAAGGGAACCGACCACGGCTTTCGGCTCGGCTCTACTCACTAGACAACTGCTATCCACTCCGGACTCGCGCCGCCATGTGTCCGAAAGATGGAACACGGAAGTACAAGAGATGTTCTCGGGCGCCCAAGAATCCAGAGATCCACATGTCACGAGTACAGCGGGCTTACCGAGAACTCCCGGATGCTGAAGATGCTGAGCCTTTGCCACCCCCAAGCTATCTTTCGAGTTTCAACTCAAGGATAGAGGAAGAAGAGAAAGCAACTCGGTTCATTAATAGTGTGCCGGCATCAGATATTTGCGCCTACCCAGATGGATTGTCGGAGGGAAATGGCCGCTCAGCATGGGGGTTCGTCTTGAAGAGGGATGGAAAAACTCCGTTGAAGGGATATGGCATCAAGCATAGTGGTGAAGTGCTTGATGCGGAAATACAAGGGGCGAGGAAGGCCCTGGAAGCTGTGCTGGCATTTTCGGAGAGGGAGAACGGGGGAAGGGACGGCAGGCAGCAGATCAATGTATTGACAGATAGTCAGTCTGCAGTGAAAGCACTGCTGACGAGAATTGCCACAACAAGCCTCGACGACGTACGCCAACTTAGGGCGCTATCAAAAAAGGCTCTAGTCTCGGTAAAGTGGATACCGGCCCACTCCGGGATACAGGGAAACGAGGATGCAGACAGAGCTGCACGCTCCGGCCTCCAACAACTGCCAAGCAAAGACAGCCAGCCTAGCTCCGTCACAATGGCGTACGTTCGTCGGCTTATGAACCGGAAACGTCAAGCGCTTCTCGACGACTGGTGGAAAGAAGTATGTCCACCTAGGTACCGAAATCTGGGTCTTCTCATGCGACGACTCAGGCCACGCGAGCAGACACTTTCCCGGCGGCTACTCCGTGAACTGATCTCAGCCCGTACGGGACACGGAAACTTCGCTGCATGTCACCCTCGTTTCAGCAATTTCACCGCTTCCATGGAGTGTGCGTGTGGAGAGGAAACATCACCTCTCCACTTCATTCACTGTCGACTGCACGTACGCCAGACGCGTCGACTACGAGTGACAATGCCACATCACGACTTTACCTACAAATTTCTCGGGCCTAAGTGCCTCGAACACTTTAAAAAATTTGCGCAGGAAACCGGCTGCTTCGGGGGCCCACCTATGACTCCGTCTCCAGCTCTCAGCGTAGACGGTAGTAACTAGATCATACCACGAAGCATGACGGGAAAGAAAATGAGTCGAGAAGTGTAATTTTCCAACCACAAACAGGTATATGGGATTTGGAATTCTGGTTATGGAGTTTGTGTGGGCATTTATTTTCTTCATTATAACTAGCTACTTGTTGTGTAGTGAGTCACGCGGTGAGACCGAGTCGGGCATGTGAGAAGCATGATCTTGGCCATATGCACCGGTCCTTGACTCCTAGGAGATATTGAGCATAGCTTAGGACTTAAAAATTAAAAAAAAAAAAGATTCGAGAAATTCGAAAATTCGAAAATTTATTTTTTCCCTCTTTCCTCCCTTCTCGACCTCGTCGCATCCATCTCTGAATTGTGATCGAGCTCAGGCATTTTCACCATGCCTCTAGTTCGTAAAAAGCGTCCAAACTTCTCGTTGGACAACACGAGAATCCGCCCGAGGGCTCTCGCACAAACGCCTGACCTTGCCAGGACTTCAAAATGGGTGAAGATGAGCGAGATCTCAAATAAAGGGAAGGAAAAAGCCCTCCCCGCCGTCGCTGAGTCCGATACTGACATGATCAGGTCAGTTAAAATTATTGAGGAAATCCCTCAACCATCTTCCGTCCCTCACGGGATTGTAGAATCGTCAAAATCTCCTCTGACCTCGTCAAAACCGTCGGATAACGCTGCACCCAAAGCAACGCCAAAATCAACGTCGCAGCCAAAAGCTGCCACGAAAGCAGACTGCCCGCCCGAACTTCGACCCATTGTCGAAGCCGAGCAACGACGCGCCGCCATCTCTGGCGTCGAAGCAACCCTCCTCCCTTTGACCAACGGGTCAAACAGACAATTCGTAGACTCCATGAAAGTCTACCTACGCGCCGCTATTGCGCAATACATGGCCACGGGCCCTGCCACTACGCCACCCGCCATACCTCCTCGCCCATTGAAGACTCTTCCAAGAACTCCAGACGCCAGGAGCACAACAATTCCTACCGTCCCAGAGCTGCCTGTAATAAGCACCTGGGCCACGGTGGCTAAAAACGGACTGCAACAAGCAGCAATCCCTACTCTAAAGGTAGTGCCGCGACCTACGACCAAAGCCCAGCATAAAAAATCTCCCTAGGCGAAAGTCGACAAGCGACTGTTCCTTCAGCTTGAAAAGGACCACCCGTGGCAAAAACTATCTCCCGTGGGTGCTAAAGCTGCTTTCGAGGGACTCATCCGCGACGGCAATTATATCGACTCAGTACAACGAGTCAAGTCGGGAATTTCCTTTCCACCAGATTCCGAAGAAAATAGACAGGTTCTTCTAGATAACTCGTCAAAGTTGGCGAAATACAACGTCAAAATCGAACCACCTTCGGACCTCGTCGCTTTTAGGATCTCCAACGTGTCCGTGAAGGCCAAAATAGAGTGGGGAGATAAGGAACTCAAAGAAATATGGGTTGAGGGTGAAATTTAAAGAGTGACTGGCAAGACACCAGTCCAAGTGCGACCCTATGGGAAATGCTGACCCGGGGCCCTATTCTGCAACTGGTATGCCCTCTTTTACCGAGACTCTACTTCCCGTGCGGGATTCCGCATTTTCGACGAATCTGGAGCGGCCATCGTCCATAAACCTCGTCGAAAAATTGAACAGAGAAAACGTTATTTGGGCTTCCACGCCACCCGTGGTTGCTCCTGCGCTCCGGACTGCTGGACCTGCGGATCTAACATGTACTCGGAAGCTGAGTGCACGGCCCTTACCAAGTGTTGTAGCTGTAGGGGACCGGTGACAAAAGAGTAGCTCGCGTGGATCCTCCAAATCGAGCAAGGGAGGTTCACGGAGGTGGCACGAGCTCGGGCTGCAGCCAAAAGGGTTGAAGAGGCGATCACCGCCTCAGCGAAGGATGTCTCGATGGCCGAGGCTACAGGTTTCGGATTACTGGAATTTTAAAAAGAAGCTTGAGGATATAGCAACCTCAACGATGCCTCTAACAGGTATCAACTAACCAATTGCAGGATGCCGGCTGGATCAAAGGTGCCTACTAATCCATCACTTGCTTTCAGCAGAGATGGAGAAAATTGTCATTTGGAATGTGTGAGGAGCGCATTGCTTGGTTCTAAAATGGAGGAATCTTCTATCTTTCGGAGTTGTTTTGATTTTATCTTGGGAGTTTTTGTTTTAGTTTAATCAGCTGTGCTTTGGCAGCGATTCACAAGGTTAGAACGAGTTTAGGCTGTAGGAAAAGTTACAGGGAACCTTGCCGGCTCCACCAGTTCTTCACCAAATGTGGATAAAGAGCTGTAGCTTAGGACCTATTTGTAATAAAAAAATATATAAAAATATAAAAATAAAAAAACAAATAGCTGACCGCTACTCTGATTTCCAATTTTAACGTAGCAAATTTCCCTCTACCAGGAGCTTCATATATGATTTACAAGTAGTTTGTGCTTACTCTTGTAGGCTGTACAATGAATCAAGATAACGCTACGAAGGAACAGATTGTGAGTCCTTCCATCCAATATTAGTTCACCACAAGATACCTTCTTTCCCAGGGGGAATCTAGTGGGCTTGTTTGACTTCAGCGAACTTCGTCTGCTCGACCCATTTTCCGAAGGCGAGGCGCCTGCAGGCGTGAAAATCTATCTCAAAGAAAATAACTAATTACAAGCGCAAGGACCGTGGTGTTCTCCGGTATGGTTTGAGTAGCCTGGGCACCTACTTCACTTGGGAAGAAGAAATCCCAGTCCACATTTCGTGCGGAGAAAAGTTCATGGATGATGGAGGCATATCTCGATAGCTCAGAATTTTTAAGAGGTTTCCCTGTGTGGCTATCCGCGGATGAGGGTTGACTTGGGTGAAGAAACAGCTGCTACAACTTCGCGGTTGTATTTGCAAATGGAATCCGAGGGATGAGTGCTCTTCCTTAACATTGAGCCATCTATTATGTACTTTTCTTTGATACTGTGTGTTGGAAATATCGCGCAATGAAATGGGCGCAATATTTATGGAACGAAAGTAGAAGTTGACTAAAAGAGTGTCATGTTCGAATTAAAGCTAGAAGTGTGGGAAGTGTGCGCTACAAGTACAAGTGTATGATGCAAAACAAAATAAAAAAAGACCCTAAGACACAGCATAAACGAGTGTGGTGCCATCTAGGCATAGAAAGCCCCCAATAACCTCCTTGTGCCCACGCCATACAGCCGCTCATGTCTTCAATAGGTAGCCTGAAGCGCTATCATATTACCCATTCCAACCTCTTAAATACACACGAGATCATGTTGGGAACCTAGACGAAATGGAGGTCCCGTACGTCCACAACACTCTGTGTCTCCATTTTCAACACTGTGTCATAGCTAGATAGCTGTATACGCAATTAATATCTGATGCAAAAAAAGCGCATGGACCAATATCACGTGATTATACACAGGGCAAAGCTGATAACTTTGACAGAGGAACTAAGTGCAATAAACAGCCTAATAGTGAGAGAGGACATATATATGTCAAAAAAGAGTAGCCGTTAGGTGACTTGGTAAGCTAAGAGTCTGGCATGCTATTCTTACTCACCCTGGAAACAAATTTCCACGCCAGTAAAGGGGAGCTAGCTTGTTTCTCGGCCAGCTCATGTCTAGAGATAGCGAGCGCTTATGGCGAATCATGACCTCGCTGGTTACACTCTCTGAGCACCTTAACCATTGTCTCTGCTTCACACTAATTCACAACTATTTGCTGCTTCATTGTTGACTTTTCTACCATGTCTTTCCCACCGCCACCAGACAGTACAGTTGACTGTGTCAACCTGGGATTTAAAATCCAAGAAGGTAGCGTTCCGCCTTGTCACTGCCTTCCAGCAGAGTGATAAATTCTAACGCACCTGTCTTCAGTTAACGGGCACGTCGAGTGTCGCTACAGTGCCCAAAGCGGAACCTGGTCGCCTCCAAAGTTTGTTCGAGATCCTTACCTACGCCTTCATGGCATGGCCCCTGGACTAAACTACGGACAACAGGCCTTTGAAGGACTAAAAGCTTATCGCACGCCCGCAAATCGCATCACCGTGTTTCGGGTGGATCGTAATGCGGCGCGACTAGCTCACTCATCTAGCTTTATCTCTGTACCAGAAGTGCCTGAGGCCCTCTTTATCGAATGTGTCCGCGTCGCCGTCGCTCTCAATGCGGCTTATGTTCCGTCGTCTGACACCGGTGGATCCCTCTACTTGAGGCCTCTAATCTTCGGCTCAAGCCCGCAATTGGGCCTTAGTCCGCCTGATGAATATCTCTTCTGTGTTTACGCCATACCTGTCGGCGTCTATCATGGTGTCCAACCCCTCAAAGCTTTAATTCTTGATGATTTTGACCGCGCAGCCCCTCATGGCACCGGCAGTGCTAAGCTTGGCGGTAACTACGGCCCGGTTCTAAGATGGAGCGAGCAAGCGCGAAACGAAGGCTATGGTATCACCCTGCACCTCGATAGCTCTACTCACAGCGAGATTGACGAATTTTCCACGAGTGGTTTCATCGGTGTTCTCAAGGATACCGAAAGCGATGTCATCACTCTAGTTGTTCCGAATAGCAAGAATGTTATTTCGAGTATAACATCTGAATCGGTGGTTGCCATTGCGCAGAGTTTCGGCTGGAAGACCGAGTCGCGCTCCGTAAGTCCATACGCCACACTCTCAAATATTCTGCCTGATTAATTATGCCAGATAAAATACGAGGAGCTTGCCTCTTTCTCCGAAGTCATCGCAGCTGGTACTGCGGCAGCTTTGGTCCCAATTCGTTCAATCACGCGCAAGTCCAAAAACCAGACTTTTACTTATATTCCCGACGACTTGTCGAGCCCCGGTAAAGTTTACACACATCTACTAGAAACCCTCAAGGCAATTCAATATGGTCTCGTTGAGGATAAGTTTGGATGGAATACTGTAGTTGACCAAGTCAATCCCAGGCAGTATATCCAAGACGAAGACCAAATAAATTCATGAAGATTAACGAACTTCACCAACAACCATTTCGCTGTACATGAAAATTAGCTAGATCTCCTCGATCAATTAATGGCTTGAAAGTTTTATTGAATTCACAATCGGAAAAAGTAAATCCTCTAGCATAATGAACAACATTTGAGTAAACAAAATCAAAATAGCTTCACTTAGTTTATGTTATTAAGTTTATTTAGTAACATGGTTAAATAACTCTTCATATTATCAATTGAAATAACAGGGTTAATCTCTATCATAACAAAGGTAATGGGAATTGGTTTGCTTCTGCAGAAGTGATGGTTGGTTGATACATGTATTAAATTTTCTAGGGACGCTACCGAAGCATTAATACTGTCTGTATCCACTCGTATGACTAAGGAAAACATCCCACATCAGGTCCACTTGAGCAAGTGCGCCGATATCATCTGTAGATTTCATCGTCTTGCCTAAATGCAGAATCTTACAAGTTTAATAATTAAAAACTCTCCAGAAACGATTTAATCACCAACTCTTAAACCATCATGCGCCTAACAATCTGCTGTCCCTTTATTTCCAGCTGTTGGATGGGTTATGTATCACGTACGTGACAAGTAGATGCAAAGACAACTTTTTTTTTAAATTACTTAATGTTTATACAGCTATAAAGCTGTAACACATGACCGGTGCTATGTATACATGTGGGATGACTCTTTTGACGTTAGAGACACTCATACTCTGGATTTCATTTGCAAATACCACTATGAGGTATGCTTGCTTACACAAACAGTCGACCATCCTCCGTAAGTACCCACCAAATGGAAATTCGAAACCTTTCGTTATCCGAGCATGCCTTCGTCATCCATGTATACCAGCGCCGCGAGAAATGTGGTTGTGTTTTGCTGGATTCGAAGCAGCGATCTACTGTCTCGAGTGGGATATGTGTCCAAGCTATCCAGACCTTAATTGGATGACCGGCCAAGACGATGTACCACCGCACCATCAAACCATGGCGGTGTTTACAGTGTCACCTGCACTCTCGCAACCGAAGACTTGGCACGCACAAAGCACAATTTGTAAAATCTCCTTTCCAAAATTCAAAATTCCACGCCCGTTGAGAGTGTACCCATCCTTCGCATCATCTTGTTAACTTGTCCTGAATCCTCTTACGCCAATCCCAAAGAACAGTCTCCCAGATTTGTGCGTCGCGCTTTGTTTCCTCCGTCGGGTGTGAATATCGGCGTGGGCGTGTATTTGGTAGTCAACTGAAGCCGGAGAAAGTCGACGAGAAGTATAGTTACTGGAATGAGGATGTACTATGTCGTACTTGTAGACTTGATGAGGCTTAGGTAGGAGTCGATCTCGTTTGGTGTGGAAAATTGACGTGGTGGAGTATTTTGAATCATTGTCTCGTGGGCCAACTTCTTGAGTATTGCGGAATTTGACTGAACTTGGCTCTGGAAGAATATTTCACTCCCAGGTTCGTAGAGGACACCGCGCACAGGTGTTCAGTCTTGCCCTCCCGGTTTCGAAAATACCCTCTTGTGGGTACTTACGGAAGAGTGTGACGCCCCAACACTTTTAGTGGCCACAAGGTTGTCGGTCCAATCGTCGGTAGGCGGACACAGTGTCAATCCAGAGATTACAACGACTAGTTTCGAACACACGCAAGTCTTGTGTGTGAGAAACCACGATACGAAAGGCTTGTCATGGATATTGGGATTCGTGCGAAAACCTTGGGCTGTAGACAATGATGGACAAGAGGTTTCGTGTTGGCAACTTTATTTCAACAGTTGAACTCCTATGTACATATACACAGATTCTTATCTCCCTCTAGAAACATTTCTCTTTAGTTTCGAATCTTTAGATATGAGTCCAAGCCAGCTTTTGACCACTCGCCAATTGTCTATTGTCCCTCGAGTTTCCACGAGGGGGACCGACTGTTTGTGTAAGCAAGCATACCTCAAAGTGGTATCTACAAATGAGATCCAGAGTATGAGTGTCTCTAACGTCAAAAGAGTAATACAACTTGTATCATAGCTAGATAGCTGCATAAACATTAATTGATTTTTTTTAATAAAAAAAAGCTCTCCTCAAACAGTACCGCCCCTCACAAGTCCTCATTCGATCATACACTCAGAGTAGCCCTTTGCCCTTCATTATCCCCCCTCTTCAGCCAACCAAATGATGGCCATTTGCGGGTGTATGGCAGCTGGTAAAAATCGTAAAAGCCACTGGGTACGGGGCTCTTCTAATACCGACATTAGGACTAAATCCGAAGATATAATAACCCTTCTGGAGCGTTCGAAGAGGCCGGCCAGCCGGGCGCTGAAGACTTGTATCTACCTCGGAAAATTCACACTGCCTTTCTAGCCTCCCTCAAACTCCTTCCCGAAGGTCGTGCCAAAATTTCAGTAGAATCTTGATAGAGCGTGATTGCTGTACGGTAGCTCAGCCCAACTTCTTTTGTGCCGTGTGGGGAACTGAGAAGTGACATAGACTCATCGACAGGAGGAGTCCTCCTGGATAATCAGCTGAAGTCTTGGTCTTAGTGCCCACAAAAGTTACAAAGTCGAAAACCCCTCAGAAAAGTCAGTTCGAGCTTATCGATTGGTGACCTATCCTCTACGTCGTGCCGTCACCGAGCTGCCCGTTATCAGCCAGGATTTAGAGCCCCTCTGTACCGGCGGTCCCCTTTAATCAGTGCTCAAGCTTTGAATCTCATCACTTAATTTCCTCCTTGCAGGTATAATAATAGTCGTAGTTTTATTATGATTTGTATATGTTTTGGGAATGTATACTTGCGCTTGAACATCTAACATAGTATGTGGAGAGATATCTTCATTAGTGTGCAGAAGTGAAGTGACTATGATAATTGCTATGTTACAGATTGGGGGAAGCTCGTCCCTTAACCCCTAGCTTGTTTGCTTGTAGATCGATCACGTTACCAGTATGCAGCTCACCAAAGTGTTTTTTTTTTGCATCAGATTTTAATTGCGTATGCAGCTATCTAGCTATGACACAATATCAGAGAAAAGTACAGAAAAGATGACTCAGTTTATAATAGGAGCACTCATGCCTCGGATTTCATTTGCAAGTACCACTGCGAAGTTATGGTGGCTTTTTCTTCACTCCAAGTCAACCCTCATCCGTGAATACCCACCCAGGGGAACGTCTCAAAAACCCTGAGTTATCCAGACATGCCTCTGTCATCCATCAACTTTTCTCCGCGCGAAATGTAATCTGAGATGTCTCCTTCCCAAGTGGAGTAGGTACCCAGGCTACTCAAACCATACCAGAGAACATCACCAGGAGGCGGACCACAACACCTTCCATCGTTTGCTTGTTTTTATAGTGTCAGCTGCACTCTCACAAGCGAAGTCTTGGCACGCACAAAGCCCAATTCGTAAAACTCTTGCCAAAATTCAAAATTCCACGCCCGTCGAAAACGTATCCCTTTTCTGCATCATCTTGTGAACTTGTCCTGATCCCTCTCACGTCCGTCCCAAAGAGCTATCTCCCAAAATTGTGCTCCACGCTTTGCTTCCTCCGTCGGGTATAAATATCGGCGTGGGCGTGTATTTGGTGACCGGCTGAGGCCAGAGAAAGTCGACGAGAGGTGTGGTCATTGAAACGAGGATGTACTAGGTCGTACTTGTAGACTTGATGAAGCTTAGTTGAGAATCGGACTCTTTGGGAGTGAAAGATTGACGTGGTGGAGTAATTTGAATTTTTGCCTCGTGGGCCAACTTCTTTGATATTGCGAAATTTGACTGAACTTGGCTCTGGGAGAATATTTCACTCCCAGGTTCGTATAGAGCACCACTGACAGGTGTTCAGTCTTGCCCTCCTCACCAAAGTGTGCAACCAACTGAGCAGCCATGCCATTTGTCCTATATCAACAACCCATCTCTCGTACTGCACACATTACTCCATGTAATGTCGTTATGTAGAGACTGGATCTCCTCCATGCGCCATAATAACTACCTATGCACCAGCTACTAGATCTACCATACCACATAGCTGAGCATAACAAGTTTGATAGAGGTGATTAGCCGGTGGTGGATGGGGCAAGCTTCTGTAATGAATTAGAGCAAGTCTTTTATCGGTCGTTGAGGTGAGATTATGCGTGGTTAGAAAGGGGTCGAAGACACAGTTGAGAAAGGTAAGAGAGGCATTATAGAGAAGTAGTCAATTGCAGATGTGCTTGAGATTGCTTTGGACTTTGTTTCGGTTGCGATTCTTCTTGGCCACATCACTTTAGCTTTCAATCTACGAATGGAAAAGTGGTAAACTAAGCACACTGTCCTGTCCAATTCGACTACTTTTGTAATTTAACATGCCAGGCAATTGGCATCCTCCTCACTCCTATAGGAGCTTGAATACGAGCGAGGCCGGGCTGAATCAAGTTAACTATCATTAATTAGATATATCTCGTCCCGTCTGATTGACAGGGCCACCTCGGACTTCACCCATGTTTTGAACATGTCAAGCCTAACCATTCAGAGAACCCGACGTTGATGCGCCGAATCGAACTATTCCCTTCAGACTCGGCCACTATGCGCGCGAGCCCTTGACACCTTCCTATTCCTAGACTTTCTTCTTGCGTTTAGTCCAGTTTGTGCCTCATCCTACATTTCCTCCTTTCATGTAGGGATTATTTTCTTCATTGGATGCTTCATCCAGCCGCCCACCAATGCCTTTCCGTTTTCCACACTTTTCTTCCTCCATCAGAGCTATCCTTAACCCTTATTTTAACTTCCCCATCGTAGAAACTCTGAAGAGTCTCCGTCCCTCCATAATTGCCTCGTCACTGTCGTAATCATAACCGTGGAAGTCGAATATGAGTCGAAGAGCTCAAGACCGATGATCCAATGCTTTAGCTTTTGTAGAATGCTTTGGTTTATGTGCCGGCGAAATGTCGAACGTAATTCGTTGGAGGCGATTTGTCGCAGGTCGAGTTGTTTGTGCCCTTAGCCAAGGTTGGACGAATATAAGGCCAGTACTTAGACTATACCTTCACAGCGCAAGATAGTTGCGAGGGGATGAATTTCCGCTTGAATTTTAGATGGTGAATATGACTTTTGGATTTAGGAGCGCTGAGTTGAGTGGTGAGATGATTGTGGAGAGGGTTGCGAGAAATGGTCGGATGGAAAAAACCTTCCAGGAAAATATGAGAAAGTGAGGGTTGTCAGGTAGTTTCATACCAACATCAAGCAGGTTTGGATCTATCTGCAACTAGATTTTGGGTTACAGATGTTTTTACTTGTTGGGAGGTGCTATCGTAAAGTCTCTGCAGGTCGGAATTCCGACATGAGTGTCTTCGACAACACTCTTTCCAGTGACTGAATCTTGGCACTAGTAAAATAAATCACTGCTAGATTTGTAGTGGACACTGCTATCGAGTGAACGGCCTCGACCTCTAACCTGACTAGTTGCAAAGCCCAGGGTTAATTTGAAGCCTGAAAGCCTTGGCTATATGCAGCCTGCCCAATGTTGCAGCCATAAACGGATAACCGCGGACTGTTTAATAGATTATACCCGAACTCGACAACTCACCATGGCTCGACGGCCGCACACAACACTGTTGATGATAACAGGTCTGCTAATATTTTTTACACTGCTCTTGATTTCGAACTATCGGAAAGTGCGACCTGAAAGTTCGCCTTTAGACCAAGTGTCTACGGCTCATGTTGATGACCACGTCCTTCACGGAGAGGCAACTGCAGCGAAGCTTGAAAATTCGACATTAAAGTTAGAATTCTTCACATTTTGTGCAACAGTGCAATTGCTGACGAAATACCAGGGCAGAGCTAGGTCGCTCAGCATGGATGCTATTGCACACTATGATGGCAAAGTTTCCTGACAAGCCGACTCCAGAGGATAGCGAAGCTTTAACCTCCTACATTCACCTCTTTGCACGCCTCTATCCCTGTGGTGATTGTGCGCGTCATTTCCAGCAAATACTCAAGCAGTATCCGCCACAGGTTGCATCTAGGTCTACAGCGGCCGTCTGGGCATGCCATGTTCACAATCAGGTCAATAAAAGATTAAAAAAAGAATTATTTGAATGCTCAAAGATTGGAGACTTTTACGATTGTGGCTGCGCAGATGCTAGCCCATCGGCAAAGAACCAGAGTCAGGTAGGACATTAAATATTGATGTCGTAGACAAAATAAGATGAAGCTTAATTCCACAAAGACCCAACATATTCTGCAAGAAACTTCTGGGAGGCATAAATTGTGACTCGGCTCTTTCTGAAATCTTCAAATAAAACTTTCGTAGGACAAAGCTGGCCACAACTTGAAATTATAAGTCGATTTGATCCTACGTGGAGCGCTCCCATCATCTACCCTGTCTAAGACTACATTTGAATGTCAAGGCTAAACCTGCCCGTATGTTGGGACAATCTAACTTAGTGTAGTACTTCATGCACTCTCTTTAAGGCCAATGTTCATCAGCAGTACACTCGTAGTTTTCTTTTGAGTTCACACTCAAAAGAATCGTTTGTCGACTATGACTTCTACACTCTAAGTAACCAAGCGATGAAATCTGGGAGTGTGTAATAGATAAGAATAATCTCTGAAGCCTCTGTGTGAGGGTCTTCCTTAACACGCGTGGCATCATTGGACATCATAACTAAACTGTATTCCTTAAATACTAGCAATATTCGTTTTGCCGAGCATTGCAAAACCTTGTCTACTTGAGAGCTTCTCACAACTTGTAATTTTACATTTACTCTTCCCTATATTACCGGCGGCCAGCTAAGAAGATTTCTTCTCTTTCCATTGGCGCCAGTGTAATCGCTCGGTATGCTCTGCATATCAGGGATAGCCAAAAAAGAATCGCAACCAAATCGAAGCCGAAAGCAACCTCAAGCACATCTGCATTTGACGGCTTTTCGATAGTGCCTCTCTTACCATTCTCAACTGAGTCTTTAACCTCTTTCTGTCCACGCATAATCTCGCCTCAATGACCAATAAAGAAGTTGCTCAAATTGCAAACGGGTGCTTGCTATCTATTTATTTTTAATATTTAACGTCGTGCCCGCGCACAGCACGTGAGTTCCTCACATACCGGTTAGCCCAGTCTAAATTAAACTACCCGACGTGTTGGCGCCCTCACAGACCCACCAAAGCAAACAATAGTTAGGATTTTATCATCCTACGCTCGAAGATTATAGTGTACATGAAGGTCGTCCGTCCAACGAATCTCATGCTATGCCGTTGGTACTAAATCAAGAAAAGATTTTACAAACCAAAATAAAAAATAAAAGGAGAAGATTGTTTACATCAGATCGTGATTTCGTTCGAATCAGACTGTTCGTTGTGCCCTTTCGAAGAAATCTGCGACACGCACCCAATTATTGAATGCATCAACTCCCTCCGCCGAAGCAAGTGCTCAGGATACGCTGGGATTAGAGTTCTGTGCCCTGTGGAGCTGAGCTTGGTATTGCCCGAGGTGGCAATAGAAAAGGTGGTTAGGGGACTTCTCTTCTCCGCACGTGCAGGTTAGAATGGCGTTTTCATGCTGAAACCGTCGGTGGTAGTCCGCGAAGTCGCCATGACCGGACCGTGAAGCTAGTAGATATCCTAGTGCGCGTCGCCCCAGACGGGCGAGCTCAATGGTGATTTTCGTATTAGGGCCAATTCCTAGTTCTTTGTATCTAGAAGGGGCATTTTCTGCCCAATATAGTGCGACTGAAGCCTCGTATTGGGCTTTGAATTCTCTCCTTGCCCTCGCAATGGAGAGTTCTGAGTTTGGAGCTGGAGCTGCACAGGCAGCTTTGGCAAGCGCGTCGGCTGCTTCGTTCCCGAGAATACCTGCGTGGCCTGGGCACCATTGGATAGTCACTTTCCCAGGCGTCGTATTTTGACTGAGAGATCTTCTTTTCCAATTCATTGCGAGCTTGCGAAAGGTTAGTATTTTTGCCGAGCTGGACGCTGTGGGCGTATCCAAGAGCAGACGGATGGTAGCCTCCTGGTTGTCAAGGCAGACAGTGACGTTAGAGGCATAATAGGCCAGTGGGTTGCGAAGAGCTGCGGCAAGACCTTCAGTGGCCCCGGCAATTTCTACATCATACACTTCTGCCAAGTTTCCGAACGGGAGTGATCCTCGTCCAATCTCTTGCGTAAGAACTCGGTAGATGACATAGCCCGCACCTGCTCGGTCATCTATTAGAGCTCCGTCTGAGAATACGAACAAGTCAAGAGTAGGTCGTGTAGCCTGCCACTGTTTGAAGGGATTTGATCCCAGGAGTCTACCTACTGCACCAATTTCGATAAGCTTTTCTTCACGGGATGACGACCACGGTGGAGGGATGATTTCCTCGCAAAGTTCTGGCGAGATTCTTTGACGGATCCAGCACATGCGACAATTGTTCCATCGTCTTCGAAGAGGATAATAGGGGTAGGCTGCAGCAATTCGAACCGCTAGACGGCTGTAAATTCTGTTAAGCCACGTCTGAGCTGGGCTCCAGCCAGCTTCACGTAGAAATGCTGCTATTGACGTGGTACGGTAGACTGGGAGAGCTGTCCGTGCCGCGTCGTTCATCCTATGTTGGACTTGCAAGATAATTTTTTGGGAAGTCTGTCTAGAATATCAAGTCTCGGCCCCGTAGAAAAGGGTCGCAAAGACAGCACCTTGTAGACCTTGTCTTAGAAAAAGAGGGCTTATTCCTCGAGTGATTGTGGACAGACTTTTCATATGGCTCGTGATAGCTAGAGACTTCCGGCAAGCCTGTGTAGTATGATACTGGAACCGAAGAGCACGGTCGAAAAATATTCCAAGACAGCGAGTGTGGTCTTTGGGCGTTATAGTTCTCCCTCCAATACTAAGAGTAGGCTCTAGTGGTGAGCCTCGCTTCCGGTAAAAGTATTGCAGCTCAGTCTTAGGAAGTTCGAAACTAATTCCTTTAGTAAGTCCCCATGCTATGGTGTGGCCTAATTTCTCCTGGAGTTTGCGTGCACACTCGACAAGAGAGGGCGCAGGCGCAAAGAGGGCAATATCGTCTGCGTAGCCAAAGCGGCCAGTGGAAAGACGTATTGCCTTTTCCATAGCAAGAAGACAAAGAATTGGGGATACAGGTGAGCCCTGTGGGAGACCACAGTGAGTTTAGAAGGGCGGAGAGATAGTATCTTCAATAGAGATTGTGGATTCCCGCTCTTCCATGAAAGATGCCACCCAGCGAGCCACGTTCGGTGGCCATCCTTGGATTCGAAGTTTATGGCAGAGTCGTCCTTTCTGGATACCATCAAATGCCCCTTGGACATCAACAGTCACTATACCAGCTACTTTCTTTTCCGCCCATTTTGCCTGAATATCACAAGCGAGATCTGTGGTAAGGTCAGAAGCGGAGCAAAGAGGGATGGCACAGCATTGGTCTTTGGCGAGTACCCGATATTTCAGAGCTATGTATGAAAGTCGTCGTGCTATCAGTCTCTCGAAGCCTTTACCAAGGTACGAAAGTAGAGAGATCGGTCTGTAAGACTTCGGGAGGGTCTCAAGGCGAGGTTAGGACAGTGTTCCACAGGGTGCGTATGTGGTCTAACGAAGATCTAGGTGGTAGATGAAGGTGATGAGTGGGTCGAAGGGATGACTGGTCTTCTCTAGGAAGAGACAAATAGGTAGATAGTAGCGATAGAGGCTACACGTGGGTCTTGCTGATGAAGAGCTGGAAATAGATAAATGGTCTTCCCGAAGAAGAGATGAGTAAACAAATGTATGGTTAAAGTAATTGAAGAAGACGTTGCGTGAAGAAGAATGCTTCCTCACGCCGAGTATTTATATACATAAAATTACCAAATAGCACGTAGCACACAGCCCCTATGCCCAACAATCTGCTACACATCACCTAATGAAACCAGCCCATTCTTATCAGTCTTCCTGGCTGGTTTTAGAAGTGCATTGAACTATTATTTGTGTTTTAACTTAGCCGTCCGCATGGCGTTTCATAATATGCTATGCCAAAATGATCCATGAAAGAGGGTGAGATCTCGATTTCCTGATTTCGGAAGGATAATCACTGTTGACTTCTTAAAGGCTAGCGGGTGTATTCCTAGTTTTTCACACCGGTGGAAGAGAGCTGACACCCTATTGCCAATTATTGGTCAAGCTTGACGGAGAGAATTCGGGGTTATTTCGTCAGGTCCTGGATTTTTAGACGAGACCTGACAGCATGCGCGAAATATCTCTTCCTTCGGTGATTGGGGGCCATGGGAGATCTTTCCTGGCAACACTTGGTATATTGTTTGGAATGTCGTCTTGGGGCGAGAATCTACTCAGTAGGGCCTGCCGGAAAGTCTGAGCTTTTGCTTCAGGAGTAGCTACAGGGCCGTGAGGTCCGACGAGAGGGGGCATAGGGCTGACTGTTTGTTTCTTGTGCCACCTAGTTATTTTATATGCCTCTGTGAGACTCGCTACCTGGTTAATCTTGTTACGCCAGTAATCTCGCTTGGCATTTTTAACAGTTTTGGCAAATTTGCGGCATGCATTCACGGCATGTAAGCCCTGTCGACGTATTTGACAAAAGTTACGGTGAGCCTCTGAGCATACCTCAGTCCATCAGCGACATCCACTACTTTGTTTTCTGGACCTTGGGCAGGCTGCACGTAGGACTCCTGAAATGGCTTCTGCAAGAAAGGTAGCTTCCTCGTTAACGTCAGGCATTTGGGGGTTTCTGAGACGAACCCTCAAAATGTTGTAAAATGCAGGCCAGTCGGCGGCGGCATATCGAAGTCGGCCAGGGTTAGGGTCCTCGGGGCCTCCATCTAGGATTCGAAAAAATAGTGTCCTATGGTCTGAGCCGACGTCGAGATCATGTCGAACTTTTTAATTAGCTTTGAAGCACTCTTTCATGAAACACAGGTCGAGAACAGAGCCTGCGTCATGAGTAGATTCTCCGTAATTGTTTAGTAGAAAGAGCCCCTTTTCAGTTGCCCAAGTTAAGAGGGATTCACCGCATGCGTCGTTGCACACTGCGGGGTCCCAAAGCGAATGACGGATGTTGAAGTCTCCTGCTAAGATATCTGGGGACTGTGTAAGGGACAATAGACTGGCAAGTCCTGCTCCTGCGTCCACAGAGCCAGTTGGGGCATTTTATAGGCTGAAAATTTCTACTTGGCGTTTGCTCTTCCGTCGGATACAGACTTGGAGC